CTAGCCATTCGTGATTTGTCACCCCCCGTGAGATTTGATAAGACACATTAGGAGAATATTAAATATTAAAAAAAAACAGACTTACATGGAGGGAGTCTGATGACTGTACCTGGTTTGACCAATGAATGCCATCTCGCGCGTGCTCTTCCCTTTACCACACAACTCTTCTCTTTCGAAAAGCAGACAAGCGAACAAATATGCCAACAGCCACAAGCAAACAGAAGAGGGTCCAAGAGAAGAGAACTCTGAAATCACGAACAAGACTAAAAAGTAAAGTATAATTAATTTTCAAATCTGTGAGGATTAGAAAGAAGATCAGACTGTGGAATTAGAGGAGCCAAGCAGCAAAATTAAGCAGTAAAACTAGTCAAATGATGCTTGCCGAGGTGGACTATCTGTATGATTTTTTACTCTCCCTGTGTTTACGCGTAGAGGCATGCTTGGTCTTCCTTTTCCTGGCAGACGACTCTGAGGATGAGGCGGAAGAGGATGGGGATGAGCTGGAAGAGGTAGCAGAACAGGACGAATCTGAAGAGCGAGAATCGGAAGAACCCGAAGAACTGCTTTCGCTACTTGATTGATCACTCGAGGAGTGCCTTCGTCGAGATCTAAGTTTCTCCCTCCTACTTCGTGAAGCTTTGTTCCGACTATAACGACTTCGATGAGAATGACGGTAGCGAGAGCTCACCTCTTTGCCGTGTCGTTTATCGCTCTTTTTAACATGCTTATTCATTCTATCCTCCTCTCCGCCTCGATGTTTTGAGGATAATGGAGAGGATGAGGAGAGCAATGTTTGAGATTTATGAAGTCGAGAAGAGGGACGTTTGTGCGACTCAATTCTGGATTTCTGAGAAGACTGTCGGGAAGTTGGTCGAGTATTGTGTGAATCATCCCGTTTATGATGTCGACTATGAGGTTGAACAGTTATTTGAGAGAATCGAAGAGAGGGGCTATTTTGCGACGGCTTGGAGTGATCCTTCCTACTAGCTATGCCTTCCTTCTCCCTTCTGGGGTTGCTATTTAGCTGGCTATGTGATCTAGATCGGTGACCTGTGGAAAAAGTTAAGCGGAATCAATAGGATTAATAGAGAATAAAAAGTTAGGTGATAATATAGACCGATGGAAATAGGAAACATACGATGCTTGTGAGGATCATGACGGGAAGATCCCTTAAGATCAGATAATTGAGTATGAGATTCTTTCGGATGCTCAATGTTTCTATGTTTTTGGTGCCGTTTCTTAGATTCCTTTGTAGCCAATATGGAGCGCTTAGCTTCCTCACGACGATTGAGTTCAGCCTTTAGTTGTTGCACGAGTGTGTCCTGGCCTGAAGTTCCAGAAGACAGCACTATTGACTGGTCGTTAGCAGACGTGGCCATTTTACTAGTGGCACTTTTGGTAGGACGAGGAATAACATCCAGAGTTGAATTTAGAACCAACTCAGATGAAGGTTCTTCGTTGTCTTTGGAATGGGTGAGTGGTGGGGGATGCGCAACAGTAGGCGACTCTTTGGAATCCAGTAACTTTTCAATAATTGTATCATATTTCTCATCGGCCTCTAGACGCTCTTCTGACTCTATTTTTGACTTGACCTCGAGGCCCGATCCAAGTTCAGATGCTGCTTCAAGTGCAGATTCAGATTCAGGCTCAGACCCAGGCTCATCCTCGCTGTCATACGCAATCAAGCCTGAGAAAACGAACAAAATAGCAATGTACCGCACACAAAATCATATCTTCAGATTTCGCAAAGAACTAGCGAGAACATGAGTGACTGATTCGACGAATTTATACATTACAGAATACAAGTGAGCGGAAATTGAGCTAAAAGAGGAGCTGCAAAACAGTGCTTTCAACGTGCACTTACCCTCCAAGCTGCCTGAAACCCGCGTTTCTAAATTATCTGACCCGATTTTGGACTCGTCAGATTTAAATAAGACCTGCCTCTCTGGTTTGTTATCAGTTTCCACCTCTTCCTCTCTAGCTTGTGGCCTTTTGAGCAGAGATGGACCAGCTTGACGGATTTCAGGTTGCTCAACGAATGAACCAGTTAGCTCCTGTTTAACAGGACTGCAAGGAGCCTCTTCGAAACGTCTCCTACGCCGCTGCTGCGGCTGAGTTTGGGGCAGCGTGTCAACTGCAGCTCCATTAAGAGCATCACAGGCTGAAGGTGAGTGGTGAGGCAATGTCGATGACTGCGGTGACAGGGAGCTGCGACGTTGAATATGACTGGGGAGCGATTGTCGAGCAATGGATGTGGCAGGAGTGACGGCAACCTCAGGTGCTGAGTCGGAAGAGGGATGGCGTGATGAGGCTAAGACGTCCTCACTAATTTCCACGATCAATTCGGTCGTAACCGTCAGTAGTGCATCCGTCAGGATGCGCGTGATGAATCGGGCCTAAAAATACAAACAATTTGGCATTGAGAAATAAGAAATCAAAATTCAGCGCTTAAGCAAATCATTATAGTCACAAAAAGACTCACTTCCTCATTTTGTCTTTCATCCTCGGTCAAATCGTCGAAAATTCGTTGGAATTGCAATTTTGTGATGACCTCAGGTGACGGGGACCGCAAGAGCTTTAGGCCAAGGTTGGTGTCGAGGTCGAACAAGTGGGGTAAGGCAACAAGACAAATGAGTGATTTTAAGGTATGAAGTGCTGTTATATGTTAGGAATATTGAGGTCAGCTGACCCCATCCTCCCCATCGCAGGGCTAGAACGTGAATCCTGTTCAAAGAAGTATGGGTGAAAGGTATGTGGCAGTATGCTTTCATGTAGACAGTTTGTGACATATCAAGAAAAGGATCTTCGATGTTGAAAAAATCTTAATGTAAGATAAGCAGATGGCCTTGGAAAGGCAAGTTTGGAGGACAGAAAAAGACCGTCTTGGAACGAGGTTTGCATAAAGTGGGAGGGAGCTTACCCGTAGCTGAGCAGGGGTAGAGGATAAATCACCTAGTGGACGGGCTAGGGACTTCGTGTTGCGCCCACCAGCCTTACTCGTCTCTTCCTCAGTGTCATCGCCTGAGAGAACGGACTTTTCGGAACGATCATCCGGTTGAGCACTCCGCACAGTAGATTCTAGGGAGCTCGATCGGCCTCGCCTGTGCTGGGTATTCAAATCATCGTCTTCGTCATCTAGCAATATTCCGTCGGACTTGGGAGCCGAAAAATGTGCATAAGCCTCTTCCATCACAATATCGCCCTCTTCATCGCGTTTTGCTGTTTCTGTACTTGTCAATCCTTTTGCAGAAAAGAAAAAAATTAGATATTTCACCAAAATAGTAGTTAAGGGTGTTAATCTACTAACCATCTGTGGCAGCAGCAACCTCTTTAGCTTTTTTTCTCTCTAGCTTTTCAAGCTCCTCACGCATCCAGGCAGGAAGTGCGCGTTTTTTTGCCAAATTATCAATTCCAGCCGCGATAGCAGCGGTAGAATGTGTGAAGTGAGGCTCCACTGCGGAAGGCCAAGGACATGGTGCCACGGCCGCTTCACCTAAATATGCAAATTAAGCTTAAACTGGCACATACCATAAGCGGGTAAAAGACGATCGGGAAAAGGTGCAGGGAAATGCGATCCGGAATTTTGGTGACTTGACCATCCAGTAGTAGAGCTAGGATGAATAGGAAATAGATTGGAGGGAGCATTTTTGACGGGGGAAGACTGGGAGGTTGATACAGGATCCATATGAAGACTGCCATTTGAGTTTTTATTAGTGAACCAATCATTAGCGAGCAGCCCTCCAGGCTGATTTAACTGATTTGGCTGACGATAGTCGAAGTCATTAAATTCATTCGAACCTTGCTCGCTAGCAACTGGGAAGTCAGAGGGAGGATCGCTCGTGGGTTGTTGGACAGGAGGAACAGGCATTGCATAATGAAGGGCCTCGTGTGGACGTGAAAACGGAGGCTATGAAAACCAAGAACAAGATTAGTGTAATAAGGCATTTGCAAAAATAACAAAAATCAACCCTAAAAGGTACCATATAAGGCCGTAGTGGAGGGGCCTGATGAGCATATGGACTAGTCAACGGGGGACGGTAAAAAGGATGAGCCCTCGATTCTGCATCTGATGGAAGCGGTGGAGGTTGTGGGAAACCAGGTCCTGCACCATGAGAATAATCATTTAGGAAGGAAGAAGCATAAACTTCTTGTCCTGGATGGCTAAAATTAGGCATTCTTTCTTGAGAGGGAAGATTAACCGGATATCTTGCATTCCATACAGCCTCATTTGTCGTCCAAGAATCTCCCATATGAGAGCTTGTATCGGGAGTACTAGAACATTCATTGGAGAGTCGATCGGT